TTCCCCAACCTATATCACTGAAACGCGAATTATCAAGCAAAGAAGCAAGGGATAAAGAATTAGGTGGAGAGAATTTCGACGTGTTGAAATTTTATCCACTCGAGGCAGGAAGTGAAGGATCCATAGAACATGTAAACAGGGCATTGATTGGCAACCTCATGACCCTCTTTTTTGCTGGAAGGGACACATCTGGTGCATCTTAACTTGGTTTTTCTGGCTCATTTCCAAAAACCCTTTAGTTGAAAACAAGATCGTCGAAGAAATTAAGCAAAAGTGAAAAAGTGAGAAATGACCAGATCCATGAAAGCGATCGTAAACGGTTACTAAAATCAGTACAAAATTACTCTAAATATTATAAATTACTGCTATTAACAAAATAAATTAAAATATTTTAGTTCCAGATATTCATAGAGACTCAGAATGGATGGTAGATCATTACATTTAAAGACATTCGAGGGTACAATCATAGAGAACTCAGAATGATGAATACGAATTGAAATTATAGAAAACTCACCTACTGCTACCGACTTGGTAGCCGATGAACGCTGGCTGCTGGTTCTGTAGTTCACGGAACGTGCGAGTCTGCGACGGTGCACGGAGGGTGGATGAAGTGGCGGGCGTGGATGCAGGGACTGAGGGAAGTGAGGGGGAAGAAGAAAGAAAGGAGAACAACTCGATTTTCAGTTTTGTGAGAGAAGAGGAGAGGGGAAAGAGGAAGAGGGTTGGAGGCCATTTTCCGTGTTTTTGGAACAGTACGCGTTTTGGCTTCATTTCCACTGAAAACTCACAAAACGTGGAAAACCACGTTTTCTGTTTTGTGTGTTAATTTTTTTGCCATTTTCAAAAACGTGTTTTCAGAAATAGGGAAGAGAACGCGTTTTCAACATTTTTGAAAATTGAAAATAGAAAACGGCTTGAAAACGGTAAAGAGAACGGGGCCTTAGTTTCTGGATAGTGGGCCCAATAGGCACTTAGTATGTGCTAGTTTTGCTAATGTAAAACTTGTAGGGTCTGCCATGGGCTATTTTACAATTATATGTATCATAAAGCATCTAGGTTAGGGCTATCACTATGTTGGTCAAGATGAAGCTAATATAGAAGACAATTGTTTACCAACCTATCATTGAAATCAATGGTTAGATTAATACCTAAACCATCGGCAAGGCAAGTCCATTGTTTGAGAGTATATGGTAATCATCAAAGAGCTAACATACCTTTGTGACTTTCATTATGCTCCTTGCCTTACTTCCTATTGACTAGGCTCCACACAAGGCATTAGCAGTAAAATCTAAAAGTACCTCCAACTTTACTCTGAGTGTGCACCTTGCCTGTTTGTTGATTCTTGACCAGCTAAAACCTATTCCCTTCAAGAGCCATGCTGTTCTTTAGTCACCATAAACCATGCTTCAATCGATATTTTTGCATTTGGTTTGACATCTAGGATGGTTGGAATTCCTCTCTAGTGAACATGTATTGAAAATTATCATTGGGAAACATGCCAGAATTATGAAACCATTTTTAGAAGCTGTAAAGAAAAGAAAATTGCAACACACAAACTTCAAATGTTTGGCAAATACCTTGCCTATCTTATTTGAAATTGAGAATGAATTTTCAATGGAATTAGATTGGTCCCAGTTTTAATTATCTGATTTGGAAATACAATTGTTTGCTTCAGAATGCTTTTCCTTGTAATGCTCGATTGAGATGCAGTAAGCGGTAAAGAATTATCTGTCTGTGCAAGGTATAGGAGCCAGCAAGCGAGCAGTGAGCAGAAGATGGATTAAACACTAAAAAATCACCGAATTTTCTTGAAATCTACTCTTGTAGCAGGTTCGACGAATACATATTGCAAAACGACCTTCTGTAGAAGGATATGGCATTTATTTCATTTTGTTATACTTGATGCTTCTGCATTGCAACTAGTTTCATTTGCATTAATTTGAGGTGAATTTTATTCCCATATACATTTTGAAGTGATTGATATCCCTATCAACTGAAATTCACTGGAAAGCGACTCCGTTTTGTATTCTTATTTTCAATTTTTTACAAGGTATGAATATTTGTGGTCTCTGTGGATTGGGTACTGCTATTGTATTTTAAATGGTTAATTTAAGAAAAATTGGTTTGGATTACTGCTATTGTATTTTGATGAAAATAATAGGAACTCATCATGTGATGGGATACCAGCTAAAATTAATTCTTTGTCAACGATTTGGTAAATAAATCAAACAGCTTCTGAATTCTGCTTTTAGTTTCTCAAGATATCTATAAATTAAGATATAATTTTTAAAATTGGAGGGAAAGACAGAGATAATGTTACATTAATCTGATTCTAATTAACGGATAGCTGATATGAGTAAGACATAAGATTGGTAGAGTTAAGAGGATTAATTACATTATAAGTAAGCAGCTTCTGGATTTTATATATTTCTATCACATTTTGGTAATAATAATTAGGATCAACATTGGGCACTTAATAATTAAGGGATATAATGCAACAAGTTGCTGGTCTCCCTCATGCACATGAAACACATCAAGGGAAGACCTTGTTACCTATACACCGTACAACATTACTCAGCCCTCAGCCCCTGTTTATCATCCTTTATTTCAAAACTCATTTTTCTATATACTTATTTTTAACCACATATTCACACGACTTAATAATTTACACATAAATCCAAAATTTTTTCCTATTTTTTAATCACATTCTTCCAAAATTCATTATTCAAAACATTGAAAATCCCAAATAATGGACGTCAAATCCTATTCTCAAATAAGACATCAATAAGAAAACCAAATTAGAGGAACTTGCACATTTAACAGGCCAAATTATTATTATTTTTTAAAAAAAACATATATTAAAAACGCAAAAACTAATTTTCAATAGTAGCCGGCCAATCTTAGAAAAATTAAATATTTGTAACCAAAGACCATAGTATACACCTTCAACTATATTAATAAAAAAGAAATATCCAAGAATGGTTAAGTCAACAATGAATTATTATTTATTTAATGTGAATAGTTGGACAAGCTTCTCGTTCGTAGACAGAGATATCTTCAGTTCAAACACAATAGAAACTCGGACATCCAACATCAACATAAATGAATTAATAATGCTTTTCTTAGGAACTTTCCCACCTCGTCGTGATTGTGAATTGACCGAACAAACGGATGAAATCAAGAAGGATATAGAGATCGGAAAATTAAAAAGTCCAGCGGTTTCACACAGATTTAGAGGAGAGAAGAAATAGAAAAAGAGAGATCAAAGCAGACACATCCACATCCTATAAAGTCAATAGTAGCCCATTTCTTTTCGGGGAGATGTTACATGTTACACTTTGGTGTACCGTCCCCTCACAATATGGGGCCTGCACTTTAATGTGAGGGGCCTTACAAATTCTTTACCTAACTACCCCATCCAACTCCCAAAGTTGGGGGAAAAAGAAGAAATCAAGTCACACTTCATAAAAGTAAATAACTCATGAACCAAACTACCCCACCCACCCCCAGAAGGACAGGAAAAAGCAAAAATGCACTGCTACATATACATCAAAATTTACAGATTTGCTTATCAACACATGATGTGACGAAATTTGACTAAGTCAAATGCTCACCAATCAAATAAAAAAATAATTATCCACTTTCTTTTTAATATTAACCCACATTGCATAAACACAACTGTTTAAGGGGTAAAATAATTTTGAATTCACATGATGTGATGAGATTTGACTTAACAATCAAATAATAATAAAAAAAAAATTTCTTCCTTCTTTTTGATTTTTTGATATTAACCCACGTTGCAAAAACACAATCGTTTGAGTGGTAAAGAAATTTTGAAATTTTTAATTTAATTAATCGTCACATCTATCGATATGTCAAAGAACCTTTCATTGGTTATGTAAAACAAGCATTTTCCATAGTGCACATGGAAGTTTCGGTACCAATTTCCTTCTTTCTTTTAAATTTTCTATTTACATACCTAATCAAATGTAACAATCATGTGTTCCCAAAGTGCTAATGTAGAAACAATGTTATCATGCCAATTAATTCAACGCAATATTTAACAACAGTAAAGTCAATAAAGTGGCATATTAGAGTAAAATTCATAAACATAAATCAAAATTAACCCTAAATCATCATTAACATGAAATTTTACCCTAAAATCACAAGTTCAAATTCAAAAGAAAAGGCGATATACCAAGGCACCAAAATCCCCGTGCGCCACACAGCTGTCTATTTCGGCGGCTCCGCCTGGCTGTTACTGCCGCTATTGTTCGTCATCATTTTCTTGAATTCCTCAAAGCTAACGCAACCGTCTCCATCAGAATCAACAGATTTAATCATCCCAGCACAGTCCTGTTCGGTGCACCGCTCACCGAGGCGCGTGAGGATCTTGTGGAGCTCGATGGATGAGATCAGTCCATTATGATCCTGGTCGTAGAGCTCGAACGCCTCCTTAAGCTCGTTCTCGCCGCCTGAGGAGGGGTAGGGGTCTGTCTCGGCCTTGAAGAAGGCGGAGAACTCCTGGATGTTAATGAAACCGTCCTTATCGGTGTCGATCTCCTCCATCATCCGAGCGACCTCCTCGTTAGAGGTGTTGGATCCCAGCGCCTTAAGCACGCCGGCTAGCTCATCGCCGGATATCTTGCCGTCGCTGTTGGCGTCGAAGCGGTTGAATACACTTTGGACCTCTCTCGGGTCTTGGAGGTACACTGAAGGCTTGGAATTCCTGTCGGTGTTTGCTGCCATTGATATTCTCGTTTTGCTTTTCTCGTTCGTTGGCAAATGTGAGAATATATATTATGGACGAGAATGGTACAGATTGAGAGAGGGCTTGAGATTGGGATTGGGGTTGTGGGGTAGGGAAAATATAAGGACAAACGGTGTCATTGAAAATTTCTATTTAAATGGATAGAATTTAGTTTTTATTTAGAGTCTCTTTTTTTTTTCCCCTTCAAAATCTATTTTAAAATAATATTTTGATGAAAAATATGTAATTAAAAAATAAAAAAAAATTTAATTCACATGTAATATTATTTTATTCAAACGTGTTTAGTTATTATGGTTAGTTTTTGAATCTAGAATGTTTATTTTTGGAGTATTTTATTTGAAAAAGCTATTATTAAAATATTATCAATTTATAAAGTGTAGTGAACACGCCTACGGTTTATAAATAATCGAATTACTTTTATTTCTATTTTTTATGAGATCCATATTTATTGTATATTCATTTGTATTTATTAAACAACTCCCAAAAGTGGATAGTTAGATTGTTATATATTTACCACCTAAATTTGCATCACTTTTTTAGTTTATTAAAGGTCTCCAATATTTGTTCATTCACATCATCAAGTATTTTATAATCAACACATATTATGAGAAAAAACTTGTAATAAATTTGCAAACATATTAATAATTTAAAAATATTTTTCGCACAGTCGTCAAATTTCAAAGTTATCATTTAAGATGAAATCACAACTAGAATCACTTCATCTTGTGTTCCTCAATATGATTATTCAAATGAACGAAATGTTGAAGTATTTTTTAAGATTGATGGCCTTTGTTATTAATTTCGTTAGAAGTGTTAAAAGGGTATTCTAAATACTACATTATTGATAATTGAGCTATAAGACATTTACGACGCTCCTTTATGTATGTCATAAAAAAATGACGTACTATTAAAATTACATACTTTTTTATGATGTTCATGTGTACGCTGTAAAGTATATTGCTTTTTACGACATGTGTTAAGAATATCATAAAAAGAATAAATATGATTAATGACGTCCCTGAATGCTTGTTGTTGCACTATACGACATTCAATCTTATGTTGTAAAGAACTTGCCGTAGTGCGTCTTAGAAATGTCATAAATCTCATGAGAGGGTATGCACTAATCAAAATTTGTATTAGAGATTTGTGTAATTTTTCAAAATAGAGAGTATTTTTGAAATTGTTAAAAACCTTGAGGAAGCTCTCTCTAATTTGCCCAGAAAATTGAAATATTGCATTTGAATGTTTGATGAGCAAGCAGGTTTTAGCAAAGTTTAAATTATAATTTAAATGATCAAACATTTTTTTATCTATACATTTCATAGATTTTAACATCATATAATTACTTAAATTTTAGTTTAAATACTCTCATATACTTTTCTTAATAAGTTGGTTATTTTAAAATCTCGAGCGATCAAAAGATTCGAGAAATTGAATTATTGACTTTAATTGTCAAAGTCAGATAAAATATAACATCAAAAAATAATCATATTCCAAGTAAGAAACGATTACTCATTTAATACATAGAACACCACAAATTCTATTTTACCATGAAACCAAAATATTCAATTCCTAAGACTTTTAACGATCTTTACCTTGACTTGGAATTGCCTAAAACATCAAATAGAATTTTTCCTATGCTTCCTCAAACTTGAATAATTGCGCATCTACCTCAGTCTCGTCTCTTCCAGCGTCTTGATCACATCGTTTGAAAAATTCTAATCAACCTTTTCGTTTTTCAACCATAATTTTCAAATTAGAGAATTATCACACTGATAAGAACCAACATTGTAAGACATTCAAATACAGTGGGAAACAATCAATCACTTCTATAAATTAATATAGAATAACATAAATTTTATTATATTATAAAAGAAATTCCAATTTTTATTTTCGAGTCAATAAATGACTCTAAGAGTACGTGTATTAAGTAGTCCTAGACACGTGGAAGGTGTATTATTGCGAAAACAAATATATTTCGCGTTGAATCCGCGGCCAATCAGTGTGGGCTCGTACCGATTGGCATTAACTGATTTCGATGCTTTTGTATTTTAGTGAATATTAAATTAGGCATTGCATGTACACCACAAGTTCAAGCCGACAACGTGAATTGAAATTTCGCCGAAAAGCTCGGCACTGAAAACTTGTCTTTTTGTACCGCGTCTGCGACAAGGATAGAAAGCATTTCTCAACGGGGTTAGCCTCGTTTGGTGCACATTTTTTTTTTAAAAAGAATGTATTTTTAATGTTGATGTGATAAAGAATATATGGTTAAAAAAAAAAGAAAAATTATTGATATGATGAAAAATATTATTTTATTAAAAATGTGTGGTTGAGAATGAGTAGAAGAATAAAAAAATTAATGTGGATCAAACTGGGTAAGAGGATAATGTTGATAAGATAATTGATTGATAAATTGACTATGATGACCTTAAGCCTTTGTTTGATATCCATTTTTTTCTCGTTCTTTTTCTCTTTTTTCATTTCAACTACACATTCTATCAATAAGATAATATTACACAAACCCAAAAAATTTTCTTACTTTTTAACCACACATTCTTCCATCAATCACTATTCCAAATCAAATTCTTCTCCAAAATGGGTGTCAAAACACAAGCTAAATCAAAAATTAAACTTATCAATTTTACCAAAAATTGAACAGAGATTAAAACTCCAAAGAAAAAGAATGTCAAAATAACATCAAGTGAAATGGATGGATGCAGGGGAGGTCCGAGACCATTTTTCTTGTGGGGTCAAAAATGAGGATTCAAAAATGTTTAGATAAAATTAAAAAAAAAAAAAAACTTAATGAAT